ATTATGGTACAGGAAGAAATTCGTCTCAGGTCTTTAGCTGCCAAGCAAATTACCACCTTTGTCTCTGGAACCACAGGAACTGTTGAAGTGTTAAGGGCAGTACTGCTCCTCAGTAGCAAAAGGCACATTTCTTGAATTCAGGCCTAAGACTCTTTGCTTTCATGAGCTCATGTTGTTGCAGCTCTACTGGTTTAAGGTGGTGTCTCCCCACCACTTGAATTTATCACATAGGAAGAACAAATACATAGAAATATGTGGCTCCTCAGCTGTTGTCAGGTACAGCTCAGTACTGCCACTGCTCCTGTGGTTTGGCAGAGCATAGGGCAGACTGCTGTGTTGAGATCCGCAGATCCTGTGGGATAGAGCGGTCCTCTTCCATGCCCAAATCATCTTCAGAAAATGAGACTGACTCTCTGTCATGCTGAGCACAGGAAAACATTGATGCCTTTAAAAACTTGGTGCTGATGCTTTTAAAACCAACTCTGCTGGTTAGAATGAAGCCTACTAACACAAATGCAAGGACTAGAGCAAAACCAGGCTGCCTTCCTGAGTTCAAAACATATAAGAAAAATAGAATAATAGGCAGAGAAGGTGCTCAAGACATTCCTATCAAAGTTGGAAAAAAGTACTGAAAGACGTATTTCAAAGTTACTGCAAAGCATTGTGCTAACTCCACTGCAGTAGTCCTCAATACACGGGCAAGAACTAGAGGGAGCAAAATTAAGGCAAAGTTGATGTGCTGAGCACAGCAAAGAACACACTTAAAGAGCAGCAGCAGGTGGAGAGCAAGGCAGAGGAAGGGTTATTCATGCCTCTGTACTCACACATATCAGTGAGGCACAGCAGATGTATCCTGCAGGCTTTTTTTACTATGCCTGTTTCCACTGCAGATTCTGGTGATAAGTGGCAACACAAGAGACCTTTTTCACGAGTAACCCTTTGCAGCTGATCAGTGGATACACAGACGATGAATGTATGCATAAGGACACCTGCCAGGTAATGCTGGAGCCTGTTGTCTGGCTTGGTTTTCTTCTTTCAAGACAGATGCTATTAGATAATGTTAAGACACATGATTATGGACAAATTTCATATATCACAACAGCACAAGTTCATAGTTTCAAGTTATTTTCCTTTAGGAGAATATTAGAGATTATCATTTGGAAAGCATTTAAAATAGGGACCATTCATTTACTTTAACTGCTCTGAGATTACTAGATCAACAACTCAGTTTTACTTACCAGCATATTCCTCTTAAGCTATTTTCAAGCAGATCCAATAGTTTTAGGAACTCAGGGTAGGGAAAAAAAATCAGAGAATCAAGTTTTAAGAATTTGACTCACAGTTGGTTTTGTAAGAAGAAATGCAGAATATGGGCATCTTCCCATTTGAGGTTGTTAATCTTTGGGAACATTTTTATATTAAAACAATATGTGGCAGATAGTAAAATTAACCATCTACATCTAAGTTCAAGCTCACCTTGCTTTTACTACTGTGTGGTAATCTTCCAGGCTGGGATACTGCTGGGGCTTCAGCTTCTCTACTATAAACTTTTGACATCGCTGTGGTCAGGAAAAGTGTCAGTTCAGCTGTTTCCTTCTCTCTATTAAAATAACCAAATAAACTAGCATAAATTAAGAAATACCCATTTTTGCAAACTTTGAGTAAAGACAAAGGTGCCAAAGATTTTCTTTGCGTTATCTTCATGTTGTTCAAAATATACTTAACCTGAAACGTTTCTAGATCATGTTCAATTTGGACAGAGTGCACATCATTTTGGATGAAATGGTGCTAAATGGTTGCATTGTGGAAACAAACAGGAACAGAATTCTGGCCCCTCTGCTGGTGCTTGACAGAGTGGCAGAAAGCTAGGAAGATGCAAGACTGACTAAAGCATTCTGCTAAGGATGATGAAGCCACCAAGAGCTGACAGCAGTGTTCTGATGCCATTAAGACTGACTCATGTAATAGTCAAATTAGTTGGAAAATATTTCCTGTTTCTCCTATGCCCAGTGTACCTAATGGAAAGACACAGCTATACATAAAGTGGAACCTTCTATTTCAGATGCAGCTTTCTTGACCCAGCAGAAGTCTTCCTGCAACAGTCAACACTTTTTCAAACTGAGAATAAAGTAGTGGCAACTTACATGTCTAAGTGTCACTGAATTAAGCATTGTGCCAGGCCTAAGACAAGACAGAAAATATGAAAATATAAATTCAAAGTTTCAGTGCTTCCTTTAAGCACCAACTTCATTTATTTTTATACAAATGTACTGTAAATTATAGTTCCATAACTTTTTAGGAGCACTTTTTTGAATTAATCCTTCATCAAAAAGCTACTTTCAGTCCCATTTCCATGTAAGTCATGGTTACAAAAGAAATGTAAATACAGAAGTCTGTGTGCATTTAGGATTCCTGTATAAGTTGTAACTGAAAGTATTTGGCAATTAAATATGGTAACATTAATAAAAGGTAATTATAATAAAAAGTTCAAACATCTTCTATCATGTTGTCTTCATAAAGTACACAAAACCTTTACTATTTTGGCCACCAGTGTATTTTTTCTCTTGTATATTCAATCCATGCATCACAATTAAAACTTTTACAAAAGATGAGTAAAAAAAGGTACTGCTAGGTACCAAATCAAATCTGCCTTCAGCAGGAGGATGTAGCTACACTAACTTGTATTTACAGGTACAATGTGCCACTTCACACTGTACACTGCACTGCAAGTCACACAACCTGAGATTACTTTTCATTACCTTTCTAGAATTAAGATATCTGGATCCTCCTTCATGACCAACACTTAGGCACCAACACTAGGCATAACCTGACACTGAAAGAGCATATGATACACACTGTGAGCTTCGTGTGTGAAGGCACATACTGGTTACATCTAAATTGCGTCTAGAAACCTGGCTCAAAGAAGCAGAGTGGTGGTTGTGTGGGGAACTGTCCACATCACTTTAAAAGAACCGTTCCCCACAACAAGTTGGCATTGGAGCAGATACTTGTACGCAAGGTTTATGCAGCTGTTCTGTTGGAGCACAATAGGAGCGTAAGGGTTGAGATTCCCGTTTAGTTTTGCATTGCGGAAAACTCCAAAGACTGTTTCTGTCAAGTCCTGGGAATGCTGCTATGACAAGCAATCTTGCTTCAGCCTGGTTTGTACACGAGGCAGACTCTTACAGCAAGCCCTCCCCGAGCAGCGGTCCAAGAAAAGATTGTTACCAAAGAGAACTGGCACAGAACAAAACTTGCCACACAGGCTCATCTAAACCAACAGATTTTCTTTCCTGGTATCAAGCACTTACATATCTTCAAAGATACGTTAGGATCTCACTTTATCTTACCGTAAACCAACTTTTTACCACTGAATACCTACCATGTGCTGAAAACAAGGCAGGGCAGGCACTCCATCTCAAGTGCAGCTTCATCAGCTGTATCACCTGACCCCATTTTTATTCCAATGCTATGGAGAACTTCAACCTCAGGACACAGTGGCCTACTGAAGAGCTCCAAGAGAGCTACACACACGTGTCTCACTGCCAGCCCAGTTCCTAAAAAGTTGGACTGTGTAAAACATCATCTCTGTGTAAAAACGGATGAGTTGATGAGATCAGTTACTGCCATGTAGTTAATTTAAACCTTGTAAAACGTATGGCTTGTTCAGAACATGTACAGCGATTTAATAACACAAGTAGTACTAGTGAAGTACTCAGAGGAGACAGTTTTATATGTTGCAAACATTTTAATGATTACTTTTGAGCTTACACATTGGGTGGGTTTTTCTTAAACTTCAAACTGCAACAAGTTAAATAAATGTTTATAATATACAAAGAAAATACAACCAAAAGTAAAACTTGCTTTAAGTGTGTCTTGCACTAGGAACCAGTGTTTCTTAATAGCTTTGTTGTTGAGCTGCACAAACACACTTAAGGATTTGATCTTTGTAGCAGGGCCTTTGAGAAAACAAAATATATTCCCACTTAAAAGAAAAGGAAAAAAAAAAAAAAGTTGTGCATTATATGCAAAAAACCCACTAAAATACTCCAATAGTGCAGGCACCATTAAAAAAGGAAAGGCTGGAGATGCCCATTAATTCTAAGTTTTAAGGAAGCAAGTTTCTGACCAGTTAGCTTAAAGCCAGCAAAACAGGGATCAGTGATGGCAACTGTAGTGTACAAGGTATTAAATGACAAACTTTACACAAATACACTGTTAGAAATTTGTATCAGTGAACACTGAAAATCTGACGATCTGTTCTTTGGAACAGTCAAACAGAACCACCTCAGTTTCCAGTTGTGCAAGCCCTTGAAGCATCACACAGTGTTCTGTGCCAATTTCTTGCTGGCTGTGTAGTTACAAGGATTTATTTTGTCATTAGCAGCTAACAAACTTATTCCACATGTTCCTAAAGCCTCACAGGTGAAAACAAAGGCAAGTCTCATCAGAGCACAGCGTGGAGATCGTATTTTTTTGCACACAAACACAAGAGGCTTCACTAGTATCAAAAAACACTTTCTCATGTCCCGTATTGCAGTCAGTGGCTCAGTTGAGGTGGAAGCCTTTCTCCATCGTAGCAGCTAGCAGGCGCTCTCTCATAATCTCCTCAGAAGAATACTCGGGCAGCTTCAGGTAATGCACACACGTATTCACAGATGGGTAACTTGCATCTGTAGCATCAACCTGAGGAAAAGAAAGAACGTTTCTCATTGCAGTTGTTCTCTGTGCTCAATGTGGATGTTAAAAATGGTAAGGTCCTCTGATTCATGGCATTTACCACATATACATTACCAGCTGTCAACAAACAGCAGCATCAGGAAAGCTGCAAACCAACTTACGTTTACTTTGTATGCAATTCTTTTATATTCAAATACGAAGTCAGAGTGGAGACCTCAGACAGAGGTTAGGACTGAAAGCTGAGCATAGCATCAGAAATCAAAAAACAAAAGGAAAAAGCAACCAAAATAAAAAATCATCAGCATTATTTCTTAACGCAGCAATTCACAGGATCAGTGATCTGAAGTCAGGATCAGTGCTCTGAAGGGCAACCTACAACTGCCATACCTTGCGTACAACAGTAAGCCGGGGATGGAGGTTTGCCAGTCCTCCTGGAGGGAGTGTTGAACAACCAGTGGTGAACTGGAGAAAAGCTTTCCTCTCATCTGAAGACATACCGCACAGGACTCGCACAAACCGAAGGAATCCGGGGCTTAAAACAGATTAAAAGAGTTATGACAATATTATATGAGAGTGATTTATTTTCTTTTTCAGTTTCCCTTACCTTGAGGCAGTACAATTGTGCTCTTTAGTCATGTCTAAGCAGTCACTGGAAGATTCCAGTGCTTGTTCAGTACTGGCTTAAGAATAAAACCCATAAAAATACTTCTTTCATCTCCTTGCTGCGTATTACACTGAGAAGTGCAATTATCTTACTATGATTGGCAATAAATTAAACTAATTTCCCCAAGTCTGTTTTGGCCATAATGATAATTGATGAATGATCATTCCCTGTCCTTATCTCAACCCACAAGCATTCGGTTACATTTTCTCTGCCCCATCCAGTTGAGGAGGATGGTGAGAGTGGCTTTGGTGGGCAGCTGGCATCCAGCCAGGGTCAAGCCACCACAGTGTGATTTCATTTCCAGCCTGTTAAAGACTACAATAGTTCTTTAGGGAATCCTTTCATCCATACCAGCCCTGGGAGTGAGAGAGAAAAGAGGGCATGAGGAAAGCAGAGCCTGCTGAAACACACCCTCAGGTATCAGGCACTGTAATCTTAGCTGCATCTTTGTATGCAGGGCAGGGTCAATAGAATAATCGCTCCACACAACATCTTAGACTGATAAGGATCCTTCAGCATGCTTATACTATCATAGTTCCAGAAGTGGTTCATATGTTATTGCTACCAAACGTAACAAGCAGCAAAGAAAAGAACAAAACCCAAACCCAACAAACCCCAAAATATCACAACCACCTCCTGATAGCCAGAACCCAGTATATTTGTTGCCGCACAGTACATTTTCTTTTTTAACTACAGTTAAAGAGAAAGAAATAAGGAGACAAGTAACAACTATATCCAACTGAACAGAAATTATAAACACCAGCAAAGATGAAAGTAAGAACTCTGAAGTGCTATTTTTACTAGCCTGTATTAGTTACCTGCTGCTACATTTCCAGTACTTCACATTTTAATATTGTAATCTTTTTTATCCCCTCTCATCACAAAGCTGAGTACCTTCCAACCTGACCTATATGTTGTAACATACATGGTTATTTTATGCAGTTTTAGACAATCACTTGCTCTTCAGTGAACACCAATCCCATCCAATATGGTGTCTTTATCTAATGAACATTCTGGACATTTTGTTGATTAATGTATCTTTTAGCTAGTATTTAAAAATCAGAATGTAAGTACCTGTCTCGTGTATATCCCAGTTTAGGTTCAGTATAATTGATGATATCCTCAGCTGCCCAAGAAGGTGACTGATTTCCACAAAGAATCATCTGAACTTCTTCATGGCTGAAGGAACTCAGCTTCTCCATTGGAAAGACTCTATTGAAGCCATCTTTAATTTACACATGATAAAGTTACAAACATACAGGAAAAGAAAGTTTATAAAATAATGTCAACATTTCAATTATATTTTAATCAAACCAGTATCAATCAACAGTTTCTTAATTAAGGTAAATGGAACCTCTTCAAGATTAAAAATGGCCTCACCCATGCAAAGTATTATGAAATTAATACCTTATGTATTGCATTCTAAATTTAAACATTTGTTTTTTTAAAGCCATTCTATGCTACCACTTTCAACCAGTACACCCTGAACATTGATGAGGGACCTTGACACACTTGTGAGGTGGGCTGATGCCAACCTCATGAAGTTTAACCATGCCAAGTGCAAGCTCCTACACCTGGGTCGAAGCAATCCCAGACACAGCTACAGGCTGGGCAGAGAAGAGATTCAGAGCAGCCCTGAGGAGAAGGAGTTGGGGGTGCTGGTCGATGAGAAAATGAACATGAGCCAGCAGCGTGCGCTTGCAGCCCAGAAAGCCAACCGTATCCTGGGCTGCATCAAAAGGAGTGTGACCAGCAGGTCGAAGCAGGTGATCCTGCCCCTCTACTCTGCTTTTGTGAGACCTCACTTGAAATGTTGTGTACAGTTCTGATGTCCTCAACATAAAAAGGACATGGATCTGTTGGAACAAGTCCAGAGGAGGGCCACGAGAATGATCAGGGGACTGGAGCACCTCCCATATGAAGATAGGCTGAGAAAGTTGGGGCTGTTCAACCTGGAGAAGAGAAGGCTGCGTGGAGACCTCATAGCAGCCTTCCAGTATCTGAAGGGGGCCTATAGGGATGCTGGGGATGGACTCTTCATTAGGAACTGTAGTGATAGGACAGTGGGTAATGGGTTAAAACTTAAACAGGGGAAGTTTAGATTGGATATAAGGAGGAAATTCTTTCCTGTTAGGGTGGTGAGGCACTGGAATAGGTTGCCCAGGGAGGTTGTGAATGCTCCATCCCTGGCAGTGTTCAAGGCCAGGTTGGACGAGGCCTTGGGTGATATTGTTTAGAGCGAGCTGTCCCTGCCCATGGCAAGGGGGTTGGAACTTGATGATCCTAAGGTCCTTTCCAACCCTAACTATTCTATGATTCTGCCATATTTAAAATTACCTCTGAATGCCTCCATCTGTTTCTGTATACCAGTATGCATGCAGAAGTCAAACATGAGGTCTACATACTCCTCTGCATTATCCATTGTTACAGTCTGCAAAGACAATATACCAATACTGTAAGAATTCACTTTGCATTAGTTACTGCTGAGACAGTAAAAACCTAATTGCTGTTTAAATTGCAAAGGTAGGTTGTTTCCTTACCTCATCTTCACCACCTGGCTTGAGATCCACAGCTGTAAACCCATACACTTTGGACGAAGGGCAAAACTGAAAATTTAGACTTCAAAATACAAAGAGAGTTACTAATTGCAAACAGGACTACAGATTTATAAACTGTGCCCCACAGCCCCAAAAGCATCTCACTACATTTCAAACCACTGTTTGTGGATCATTTTCTACATACGTGAACAGTGGTACCATGGTACAGAACGACAATTAGTGATGGACTACACAGATAATATATGTCGCAAATCTATGGTACATACATACATGTATTCTCCCACTCTTTGGATTTGATAACCACTGAAAATCCCGTACAGTTTGATATCTTTACACTATCAGCTTCAAACTGCTTAAACTGTTTAACTCTGTTAACAAACTTAAAAAATCCTTTACATTAATGTCCAGCACTAACGGTTACAAAGCCACATTAGGCATTTAGGCCCTCCAGAGGCACTACTTGCTTTCTTTCAGTAACAGGCATGCTGAAGCCCACAAGGCCATAAACAACTACTGAACTCTCTCTATGCAATCCTTGTGGCACAACATGATTTTAACAAATAACCTGTAATATTAATGGTAGAAAAAACTACTGTTGTTAAAAAAACAAATTCAGAACTACAAAAGAGCACATCCTCACACAAGTTTACACAGGCATGGGCACTTTTATGTTTTTAACGTCCAATAAAAGTTAGCATATTCTGTTTAATGTGGATTCAAGCACTGCATTGCATGCATGATTAACACAAGCTGCAATTTCAGAGTCCTCCAAAAACCTTGATAAATTTCAATAGTTAACACAGCAAAGAAATCACCAATTCAGTTTTTCAAAGGTCTTTACAAGTATTTGTGTGCTTCTAGAGTCATACAGCACTGCAGGGCAGCCACATTTAAGTTTAAACATTAGGAAACTGAGCAAGTGAGAATAAAAAAACCCTCAAGCTAAGGAACAAAAATACAGCTACAGATGGTAAACTGGATCTTGCTGCATCTCTAATGATTCCCTCTTGCTATGATACTATTTAAAATTAAGGTATCTTCATTTTTAATTATACATGCTGACATTTGTCTCTAACACAACATGTTCGCATATTTATAAATCAATATGAAAACTCTTACCCCAAATCCTCTATACTAAGTGGAGGCCCGGAACCTGATGGATTCTTTAGCATTAATTCCTGTAGCTTTGTGTTCTTTTCATCTTCTGACAGGCTTTTGTTGCTTAAAATTTGACGCCTTTTAATTGCAAGGTCCTTAATTTCTTTTAGAAACCTAGCTCTATGTGGATTTACTAATTCAAAGTCTTCCCATGTTAAAATTCCATTAAACCATGCAGGAGGCTTAGGTTTTGGTGGATCAAGAATAAATTCCGATTTGGAGTCTTCTTCCAAACTTCCTACTGACAAGGAATCATGCCCTTCTTCTGTAGAAGCCTCTGACTGACTTTCAGTACAGTGCAAGTCTCTGTCACCCCGTGATTCATATATCAACTTACTCATGTTACTTTTAATGTCCCCCATACACATGAGCTTAAAAAAAGGCTTGGAAATGGGTAAATCCACAAGTCTATTGTCCTGAATGCATTTAGCCAAGAAAATCCCAAGGAAATGAAAGAGTTTGGTTATTCTTTCAAGCTCATCACTATCTTGTGGGAACGGTGCTGTGAAGAGTCCACATGATCTCTGTACATAGTAACCAGGGGGTTTCAATCCACCACCAATATCAACCTGATTTAAGAGACACACACAAGAAAGTCAATATCGTTAAAGGTGAACTTAATTACGTGTCTGTGCTGTTTAACTTACTATATCCTACTTCTCTCTTAAAAACAGAACTGGTAAGAAAGCAAGCTGTGGGGCAGAATGGTCATTCTTGACCATGATGAGCAGCTGCTCACTCATCATGTCTTCTTCCCTTCCTGTATACCTGTATAACTTTTCTTTTACACAAGTACTCAGTTTAAAATGCAAATTGAAATATACCTGTCGAGACTCATCATCTGGAAAATCATCATCACAAAGCCATGCTCCCAGATCTGTCCTCTGAAATTCTGCTGCCACCAATGCGTAAAATTCCAACGTAGGTCCCAGGCCTGTTCCTTCCTCCCCCAAAAACTCCACCTAGAAATACATATGGAAGGTTAATAATAAAGAAAAACCTCGTGAAATGGTCAGTGTCAGTTATGGAACAGGATATTCAATATCCTGGCCAGTACATTAGGAATAGCTATCTAACCTCGCTCTGCTAGGTAGATATGCTTTACCTCTAGAACAGATTTTCTGTCTGCATGAATCTGCATGACATTTTCTGCCCATTCCATCAAGGATTCACCTCGCGGAACTTTCACCCTTTCATGTTTGAGGCGTCCAACTCTGAATTCTCCTGGGTCATCACGTCGCACTGTGCTTGTGGTCCTTGTCCGTTCAACAGTGGCTTCACGCCTGTTCTGTAGCCATACAATTGCTCTGGAAAAAAAACAAAATCAGGTGTTTAAAATTTGGATGTCTACCAGCCTGGAAACTTGCAAGTGGCCACTAAGTTACCTTGTTAAGTATTAATTACTTCCCCCTCAATATATAAGTTATATACTGAAGTATTTCTCTGAAACCTCTGGAATGCTCAGATGTGAGCTGCCTGGCATTTTCTGAGTTCAGAAAACGAAATAATTTTAATTGCTATGAAGGGCCAGCCATAACTTGTGATGTACTAGAGGGCACCAAAGAAAACATGCCCAAAGAAAACATGCACAACTCTGAATTAGAACTAGTTTTCAAATTACAGTGGAATGAACTGAGGGCAGCATTTACTGCAGTATTTTTTAATCACAGATGCTCAAAACTATTTACAAAAGCTTACGACAACTTCCATTATATAGTTCAAGGCAGTTGTACATCACCCCATTGATACCGACCAAGTTTTTCAGCAAGATTTACTTGCTTACACACTAGAGAAACACAAAACCAAAGCTGAAGTGCAGTCACACAAAACCAGACCCATAGTGGGGAAAGAATTAAGAGCTGCCTCTAATAGCAGTACTTACATGAAGTCAAAGTTTGAAATTCT